TGACTTGCTGCCATTTCGTCAATGGCGTATTTTTGATATTCCGCCTTGTGATCCTTGACAATTCTTAATAATTGTACTTTCAGCATTGCTTCTTCAAAGTTGATATTTTTCGAGCGGAGCCAATTTTGAACATCAACTTTCCTTGAAGCCGTTGTTGGGACCTTCTCCATTCTTCGAGAATGATAAGGCGCATTATCCAACACAATTACTGCGTTTTCCTCTAAGTTCGGTAAAATTTTTGAAAACCACTGTTCAAACGATTCGCCATTCATTTCCTCGTGGTAATCTCCAGTTTTCTTAGACTCAAAGCACCACAGACCGTCAACAACAAATCCATCCTCACTGCCAATATGGCAGATAATGAGCCTTTTCCCTTTACCTGGAAATCGAAGTACTAACTGGTGTAGATTTATTTCAATAAGCGAACCTTTTTCAAATGTTTTCATCATATTCAGCGAAAAAACATTGAGACATGAGTATCAGATTGCTATAATTGGGTTTATTTAGTCATATTGAAAGAAAGAATATTGAACGTCGTATGGTTACTCAGCGCTCCACAATTTAATTTAAAGTTATAAACCTTTAAAAAATGAATGATCAGGACCCTGAAATACTCGCAAATATTAATATTAACAAATTATAACTTTATAAAGCTTAAAGCATGAATTAAAATGATTAGAAATATTAGGAACGGTACACAATATAAAACTTAGTAACTTTTTTTATGTTTATAATATCCGACATATTTTAAGATTATATTAAAAAATTATTGAAATATCGAAAACACATAAAAACATGGCTTAAAAAAGTTCTAACAAATGAAAATGACAATAAAACATCCACGCATTTTATCGAAAGTTATAAAAGTTTTGTTACTTGTAATATGTTTTATCTGCCCCCTGGAATAAATGTTTAGAACCATGTTCCCAAGGTTTGAAAAACATCCGATTGTTGTCTATTACTCGTATTTACCTGCTGGATTTTTTAATCCGGTGGACAGTCCATCTAGAAAGGCCCTCCTGGATGAAGTTACAGAATCATCAACCCATACTTTACTTGTAGTGTGTCCTGCGTTTACCCACGTTTCATCAAGGTAATAAATCTTCCTGTTTTGATTTCTATATTTCCCAATTTTTGTTAAATAATCCCTCCTCCATAGCACAATTTCTTCTCTATCCAGTAATAAACTATTACGACCCTGTTTTTTCCATTTGAAATTTAAATGCTTCAGTAACGCATGGAAAGTTGATCGTTTGAAATTTGGCAACGTTGTATCTCCATTTACCTCCTGCAGTACTTTATCTATAGTAGGTATTTCATTCCTAAAGAAGAATTCATGCACTTTCCTCCTAATCGCATGCTTATCAGCTTCATCCAATGATTTAACAATACTTTTGCGATGTTTACTGGTCATTGGATCATAAAAGGTGTGATTTTTTTTGTATTGTCTTAACACATTAAACACTGATGCGCGACACATCCCAACTTTGTGAAGAACCTTCACAACAATTTCTTTGATGGTTGATGCCTCATTCTCCTCGCGCTCGATCTTATATATATTCAAAATGACCTCTTTCATTTCTGCACTCAGGTGTCTTTTTTTAGAGCGTTTCCTAGGTGGACTACAGGGGTTTACAACTTCATCGGCAGTATCTGTACTACTGGGCATTTTGAGCAAGCAGTTGATAACAATAACAATCAATAACAAGGTATAACAATAACAACGACAAACTCAACAACTTAATAAGATAACAAACGAAAACGTCCAAAGAAATATCAAATTGCAATGATGCACACGACATACGTAACACGTCTGAACCTGAATGTGACTCTGCCTTGATACGACTGCTCTGCCGCTCGGCATAGGCATTTAATTGCGAATTGACCAATGAGGGCTCCTGTTTTACGTCGAGGCGGCGGCGTTAGCGTGAAAATCACCCGAACCTTTTGTTTACATCCGATCTATCTCTTATCTGAATATACTGTAGCTGCTATTGGAATTTTGGTGAGAATATGGAAAAATATATGACAACATAATGGGAGATATAAAAACTTGTTTAGATCTTGCAACTGATAAAAAAGTGATTTGCTTGACAAAAAATACACTCTGGTATAACAAAAATATTAAGGTAGCCCAAAATTTTATAGACAAACAATACAAAAAATGTATATTGACAAAATCAAATGATGATTGCGAGGTATATAAAACTGTTAGTAATAAATGTTTGTATGTAATTAGAGAAAGAAAAAAGTAAATTCTACGATAAACAAATCGATAATAGCAATAGCGACAGTGTAAAGATGTGGAAAACTTTAGAAAGACTTATCAATTTGAAGCCGCAGGATTGTGTAAATCAAGTTCAATTCTTGGGTGATTGCAAATAAACTAAATGAGTATTTTGTGGAAAGTATTGTTGATATTGTGGGTACTGTTAATGCTGCACCTGACTATATGAAAATCAGTTTCCAGGGGGAAATGTTGCATACACTTTAAAAATTTCATAGCGTATCATTGAATTATCTGAGAAAACAAGTAAACAGTTTAAAATCGAACAACTGCTGTGCCGAAATCACTACTATAAACGTGCTGAAAAACTGTTTCGAAGTTTTGGGATATCCTGTATTAAATTGGATCAATTGTTCACTGAGAAGTAGTTCTTTTTTTCTGAAAATTTGATATGCTCTACAATAACAGCAGTTCCCAATATAAAAAAATCTAAAAGATTCAGCGATATGAGACCAGTGATTGTGTTACCAGACATTGAAAAATTATTAGAGTCCATAGTGCATGACCAATTAATGCAGTTTATAGGAGAAAACAAAATTTTAGTAGAGGCGCAAGCAGGCTCTCGAAAAAAATGTTCCACAGAAACGGCTTTCCAGTTGGTAACTGAGAATTGGAGAAGAGCCATAGTAGTATTTTTGGATTTGAAGAGGGCATTTGAAATGATTGATAGAGATATCTTGTTAGGTAAATTGAAGGCATATGGTATATCAGGGAGTGTTTTAGATTGGTTTAGAAATTATTTGTCTAAAAGGATGCAAGTTACAAAAGTTAATGACACTATTTCATCAAAAATTGAAAATATGTTGGGTGTTCTACAGGGCAGTATCCTGGAATCACGTCTTTTTATTCTATACATAAATAATTTACCGTAGTCAAAAAATGCAAAATTCTGATTTTCGCCGATGATACTATGATTTATATAAGAACTAAAAATATTCAGACTGATATCTCTTATATAAATGAAGACATGAAACTTGCCTCAAAATGGTCAGCATTTAACAGACTCAAATTAAATACGAGTAAAATGAAAGCTATGTTAAACGAAAAAAAAAATCAATGTACAAATGTTCAACTGAATATTGATGGTGAAGATATTGAACTCATAGAAAATTTTGAATACCTGAGGTTTTTTGTTGACTCTCGATTAATTTTTGATATTCATTATGAAAAAGCTATAAATAAGATTAGTAGTAAAGTCGGATATTTATCAAGAGTTTCTGGATGTCTGAGCTCATATAGCAGAAAAATTATCTATAATACCATCATTCTTCTAAATTTCTTGTACTGTTCGACTATTCTATATTTAGCAACTAATTCCATTTTTGAAAGACTGCAAATTTTGCAAAATAAGTGCATGAGAATAATACTGAATAAAGATAAATATACTCCAATTAGACAAATGCTTAGCAAATTAAAATGGCTCAATGTAAAAAGTTTTATCAAATATATTGTAATGATATTCATTTACAAAGTAAGAAATAATATATTTCCATCAAGTCTAACTAATTTAACATCATCAAATACCGACCATCATTTACATAATACCAGAAATAGAGATGACTTCCATTTAATGACCAAAAAGTATAACATATGCTACGAATCTGTATTCCATCATGGGTTGATTGAATATAACAAATAATACACAGAGATAAAAGACCAGAAAACTTTGACAAAATTTAAAGTAAAATTGTTAAATCTACAATTATAGCTTGCCCAGCATTTACTTCATACATCATATGGCTTGAATTTATTGTTGTTTACAATTATTCTGTTTATGTAGCCAAATGTGCTAAATAAATCTTTCTACTACTACTACTACTACTAGTCATTTAAAGCCAAATAAGCTGGTTTAAACGCTCTCCCCAGAGCCGTCACAACTCATCGCTTGTTATCTTATTCTATGTTTGGTTAATTTGCTGTCAAGTTCTGAAAGGTTCTATTACTCTTTTGTCGTTTTTCCCGTGGTCTTGGCAGCGAAATTCTTGTGCTGGTGGCAGCTCGTCCGCTGTCAATCGGTGTTGACATCTATGCTGAAAAAGGGGCATAGCCCATTGTGGTTAGATAGTACAGTAATGGACTCCAGTCAACCAGTACTCTTTGGAACAGATCAAACTGATAGGTTGACAATCAATAACAGCGACAAAGGATTGGCTGCCCACTTGCCGATATCGTGACGTCATGCCAATAGCGCTGCGTTTAGATGATTTAAAATTGAAGCGTATTTTTTCATTTGTTTTTATTAATTAATACTCGCAATTTTATAGCGCACAACTATAACATAAGCAAGAAGGTGGATTTCTGTAGGAATGTATATAAAGTGTAAATAAAAATAAATAACCGATATTTGAATGATATTAGTAGAAGAATACACTGTACGTCTAGATCAAAAGACACAACTAGAGTTAACTTCAGTTATGCTTGATGGTCCCAGCAAAATTAAACGCACAAAAAACTCTCTTGTTCGAAAGCTTGAGGTTTTTTAGCAAGAGATGATCTCGGCAAACGGGTCCACATATGTAATATTGTTTAGTTTTAACTTTGCGTTGTTTTTAAGAATGATTGATTGTATCCTTCAGGCACAAAAGCACATTTGTCTATTTTCTATCTATCGTTTGAGATGAAAAGGTTTTGAAAATCTTTGTATTTATATGCGCTGCAATACAAAGCTCCGCTTCCGTTTCTGATGAAGTGAGAAGGTACATTTTCTTTGCAGCAAAATGCCAGTCCTGCGAAGTACGACACAACGCCTGCTTATCATGCTCTGACCAACCAGAGGTTCCACAACATTTACGAAGTACCTTTCAACAGTTTTACCCATCCTAGAGCACGAGGCTTCTTGGATCCTATGTTCGTCAACTATAATAACCCTGGTAAGGCTTAGGACATCTTAAATCTCTTGTCCTGGTACTGCTATGTATGTTGATTATATTATAAGTTATATGAAGGAACCGGTACATTGTTTCTGAACTTTTACTATCATTAGCTTGGCTATGATGGAACCCCTGATTCAATATCCTATGCACCCGTTACACATATTACAATAGTTCCAAACAATGTTTTTTCACACTATATTGTAAAACGACTACGGTCTATATTGCATTTACATATTTTGAGAAAAGCAGAAAAAGGAGAAGAAGAAGAATAATTTAATAGGCTATATTCAATAAATCATCAGCAGATGACATGGAATGTGTCAAATAAATTATACATAAAAGTTAATTCCATTAGAACATTGTCAGTTAAAAAAAGAAACATAAAGATTGAAAACATAAAAAAACATGTGATACAATAGACATAATCATAATATTAGACCACTACAATAAGAAAAATATATAATATTGAAAAGCACAGCACGAAGTTTGTTTCAACCACTGCTTTTATTGTGAGCGCAGTAGAGCAAGACTTTTATTTTAATATATTGTTTTGTGTTTCATTATAGATTTTAAGCAGACAGCGTTACGATGATGCGCTCATATAAAAATAAAAAGGGTTATACGAAAATGTCATTGATGCAATCATCTTGAAATTTGAGTGATCGGGGCCAAAAGCCTCGTCTATAGACTCTAATCTTTTTTGAGTACTCTGGATTGATTGAAATTGTAACAACATTCACCATTTTTTCGAATACTACTCTTGCCACGATTTACATTAAACCGCATTCACCATATGCTAGAAATTTGACGTATTGGGTCTACCCAAACTGATAGCGGTGGAAGTTGACATATTTGACCCATTTTCTTAGTTTTCAGAGCTTAGTAAAGGAATAGAACAGTTCCTCGGAGAATAAGTTGATCTATCCTCTAACGATTTTTACATAGAAAGAGAAATTTAGCATCCATATGGTTTCTTTTGTAGCGCCGAACATATATTCTCCCGAAACGGAGTTCAGCTGCTCTTGTCATGCACTAACGATACCTAAATCAGACCGATTCCAATGTGGCGACGATGGTGTACCAGGACCAGGCACCTATTGGGTAAGCATTTGAATGAACTTCTTGAACCTTTCGCCAATTTAGTTTGAATCTTCGACGACTACTGAATGCTGTATCCCACTAAAGATCTAACTATTCTCTGTACATTGTTAACATCACTAGAACGGTAGAAAGAAGTATTCACGGTAAATAAAAATGTTGGAGGGAGTAATTTGTTTATTTGTTTGTTGAAGATTTATTTAGCATTAATGCTATAATGTCAATTTTGTATAATTATCCGTTTCCACATTTTTTGAATAAATTTCCTGTTATTTTACATTCTTGTCTTTAAAAATTACGTAACTATGCATTTTAAGTATCCGTAAAGTGACTTTTTAATTTCACCTTAAACATTTTTAAATTCGACGACTGTTAATTACCATTATCCAATTTATTAAATTGAAATACATCCTCTTGAAATACAGATTTGTTAGTTATGCTACTATTAAAATTTTGCGTATGAAAATCTATACTTCCTCTAGTTTTGTAATTATAATAATGACTACATATGAAAACTAAATAACATATACTTACATTTTTTACACTCATCCACTGTAGTTCTTTTAACATAGACTTATACCTGTATGTTAGCATATTTGTTTTTATTTAAAGTGATTCTCACAGATTTTGTAATATTTGTAATTTTGAAAATGAAACTATGGGAGATGAAATAAATTTTTTTGAAATGATTCTAAAACAGTAGCTTACTATCTAAATATATACCCAAATGTTCGAATGATTCGACTTTTTCATCATTAATCATGAGCCTAATTGCATTGCCACCTAAACGTCCCCCTGTTGACATACGTTTTGTTTTATTAGTGTTTCATTTAGGCTTATTAACGTTTAACCGATGCATAATTCTTTTAGTATCACTATTTAACATTTCCAAAGCAGTGTCCAAATGTTTTATGTTATATATATATAATTTATCGTCCGCAAATATTTGAGTTTTGCAGTGTTCTAAGATGTTAGAGATATCATTTATATTTATACTGAATAGTAACTGCTCTAATTTACTCCCCTGTGACACCCCTGATACTGATATTTTGAACGCGTGACATAATATTCAAAATTTTATTTTTTTGACTTCTATTAATTAATAATTTTGTAAATTCAAAATTAAATCATTAACAATTTTCCTTATATATAGTCTCAAATGGCCTTTTGAAGTCTAAAAACATTGTTACAGTAAATCTTTTTTCATATACACTTCTTCACCAGTCTGCCGCCACCATTTGGATTGCTGTTTCTGTAGAATATTTTTTTCTAAATTCAGCTTGATATTTTGTCAAAATTTTGTTTTCTTCAACGAATTCAATGATTCGGCATCTGGCAAGATATTTTCCGGCCGCAAATTTGTATCTGGCTCAGAATCTTGAACTTTTGTAACAAAAAAGCAAAAAAAATCAATAATATTCAAAAATAGCCGCATCGTAGTGCTTTTCTCTCAGCGCAGGCAGCATGACTCGGAATATACAGGGTGGCCCATAAGTCCTTTGAGCTGGAAAAAAAGGAATAAAACCAAACTAGTTACATTATGAAGAATTATTATATTTTGTTATCATCTTTATTGAATGGGAATTATGTTTTAAAAATCACATCGTCTAAATGCAATCCATTACGATCACGGCACTCATATAAACGACGTCTAAAATTGTCGATGACTGCGCGGCAAGTCAACACTGTAATGCTTGCCATTTCTCTTCGGATATTTTCTTTCAGGACATCAACTGATCGCGGAGTGGTGTCGTACACTTTACTCTTGAGGTAGCTCCATAAAAGAAGTCCATTGGGGTCAAATCTGGACTACGTGGTGGCCAGGAAATGTCTCCTCTTCGAGAAATTACTTTACTGGGAAAAAGTTGACAGACGACGGGCATAGAAGTGTTGGAGGTGTGGGCAGTTGCTCCGTCCTGTTGAAACCAGGTCTGCGTATTATAGCCTGGAAAATTCTGCAACGCTGGTGTCAAAAACTCTTCTATCATTGCTACATACCGCTCCGAAGTAACAGTTAATGCGCGACCTCTGTCGTCCTCAAAAAATAAGGGCCTACGATGCCATGCGCTGACATAGCAGCCCAAACTGTAACTTTAGGGCTGTGTAAGGGCTTCTGATGCTTACGCCTTGGATTTTCGGGGCTCCAATAACGGCAATTTTGTTTATTTACATGCCCGTTTAAATGGAAGTGAGCCTCGTCCGAGAACAACACATTATTGAGCGAAGAAAATCGATTCAACATTTCATTCGCAAAGTTTAGTCGCTGAATAGCGTCATTATCTTTTAATTCCTGCACTAACTGAATTTTGTAAGCGTGCAGACGTAAATCTTTCCTTAAAATCCGCTGTATAGATGTTCTGGGTACGTTTAGTGCACTGGAACGCTTACGAGTAGACTGGGTAGGATTTTGACGAACAGACTGTGCCACAATGTTGATGTTTTCTTCAATACGAGTTGTCCTTGGTCGACCCCACCGCTGTTTATCTAACGTCGAACCAGTCTCTTCGAACTTAGCAACCCAGTTCTTAATCGTTTGAGCTGTTGGGCACTTTGTAAAATTGTGTAAATTGTGGTATTCTCGATATTTACGCCGCGCAATGGTTGCCGAATCATTATTTTGATAAAACGCGCGCACACAAAAAGCACGATCCGCTCCAGTGAAACACTCCATGGCGACTGAATTCCCAGACACTGAAGATACTGCCCCCACCTCGCCCGCGCCGCTCACGCTCACCCGTTAAATTTTATTCAAATTTGAAATTTCAAAGGTCTTATGGACCACCCTGTATTATTCTTTTCATTCATATATTTCACAATATTAACAAAGCATTTTGAAGAGAAATGTTTCCAGAAGTTAATTCGGTCATTATTTATTAACAAATTATTACTGTCATTTCGTCGAAAACTGAATGTTCAAATATTCGCGAACCATAGAAAAACCAATACTTTTAAAATGTTGTACGTATATTCTTAGCTATAAATATGAACCAAGTTATCTTCTTTTTTTCTATATCCAAATTTGCAGCAGCTACACTGCGTGCTGCAGAGCGTCTCAAACTCTATGTGCCTCGCGGAAATGGCTGCTGTGTCGACATTTTTTTTGAATATCTATCTTCTATGTTTTTCTAATTAACTAATTGCTCGATAACTTTCAGCAGTACTATCATTTAATTACCTTCTTTTCCGGAAAAAAGGAGACAAGGAAAGCAACTCTTTTAGGCGGTGTTAGCACTTGAAAATAAGAAGTGGCAACGTTGCCCTCAAACTTCACAACATGAAATTTTGCTCCAAGACTGTTTCGTAAATTTTGGGTTATTATATGAATTATGAATCTACATTTTCCAACGCTGCAGATAAGACAAGAATGTTCTATTTCTAACATAGTGAATAATGATGCACGTAACTTGATGCCAACGGTATTTTTAGCTGCTTAAATGTATTTTTCTGGTGGAAAAAATGAGAAGAACATCTAAACAGTATAAATTCTGATATAAATCCACTGGAGCAGGGGTTAATTCCCAAAGTTGTAATGAGCTATTCGAGCTGATTGGCTGTGGAACCATTTCTGGTTGATCGTTTACAACCGAACGGATATTAGCTATAGATGAAGTTGCACCGATTAATTGATGCTTCTATGTTCATGAATGTTCAGCGTTCAATTTCAGTGGGTATGGGAGTAGAGCTGGGTAGTTTGTAATGGTTAATCGGTTGGCAATGGATGACGAAAAATGGAGTAGAGATGGACGTGGAAGATGATTGTAAAGATTTTATTAGTTAGGTATTTACTGTATCCGCAACAAAATATATTCAAGGTCAAAGCACCTTTACTTTCCGTGCGATAAGCGAGGAAAGACCTATGATCGGCGAAGTTTTTCGTATGTTCTTTGAACGTCTTCTATGTCATGAACATTACTACATAGGCTCTAAATGATCATTATATACAATTTGCTGCTGTTCGTCATCGGATTGCTGCTTGTATTTTCAAGTTACGAACCTTAGTCTTTGTATTTAAGTGCTTTATATTGTAGGATTTTCAAGATTTTGTAGTAACATCTTCGGAACAAGGATCTTTAATGTATTCAGATGCTGCTAAACTCATTTTTATATTTAGACGTGTTTCAAATTTCTGCTTAACTCAAGGCGTAATAAAAAGTACAAAAATTTTAAAAGTTTGCGTGCTCTGTGACTTCAACATGCCTTGAAACTTACACAGTTCGTTGCAGTCAGAATAATAATAAAACGTTTCCCTTATACCAGTATAAGGAAGTGGTTACGGTCAGTTGCACTTGGCTGCTAAAAGCGCTGGATGAAGTGTTTCTTAGCTCAGTTGTTAAATATCGCTCGCTACTGACTGAATCTGCTGACGACTAGCCAAGCTCAACATAACATCTTTCACTCGCCGAGTCAAAAAGTACTGAGCTACATTTATGTGACATTGATTTCGGATTCGGACTATTTAGAATGAGCAAGTATATGATTTGTTTATATGCAAGTTCATGCTTCAAATGGATCGAGCTTAATCCGCCAGTTTGATAGTTGTTTACGATTCGCATTGAATTCCATACAATTTTTGGGTTCCAGATAGTTGCCGAAAATGGTGGAGGTTTCTGTGGATTGCAAAAAGTGAATAAGGGCAATTTTTTTCCCGACAAATGTAAATGTTATATCTATTCTTTCACTTAATGCTCTTAATACGCTCACCAAACTTAAAAATACTTCTCTTAACACAGGTGTTTACCCAGAACTTCTAAAAATATCAGTTATTCCTATTTATAAACAAGATCCAAGCGACTTAGTAAATTATAGACCTATAAGTTTAATTACTGTTATAGCAGAAAATATGTAAAAAACAGTTGAAATTAGATTAAGAGACTTTCTAAAAACCAACAAAATTATAAGTGACAAACAATTTGGATTTCAAAAACGAAAAAAATATCATGGATGCTATTTTCACACAACTCCAACAGTTATACTTAAGTTTAAATGGTAAGCAAATATCAATA